CATAAAGTGAACACAGAGTATACAAGTTTTTTACAGTGATGTTATGTGGGTGACTTTTATTCTAATTTCCAGTAGAATCCCCAATTTCTTCTAGGACTAGTTTACTCTTCTCGTCTTTTGAGTCATATCCAGAATTGCTTCGATGTTCTGCTTACAGCAGTCTAGGCTTTTTCTAGACTGTTCTCCAGACTCTTTCCCCTGCCTATTACCCACATCCCAAACTGCTTTCACCTTTTTAGGCTGAGTGATAGCACTGCTCTGCCCCTTGGTATCAACTGTATTAGTCTGTTTTCTGTTGCTGCAAAAATACAGTCTGAGGCTAGAAAATGTATAAAGAAGATAGTTAATTTATTTCACAGTCTAGGAGGTTCCTGTGGGGAGGGTCTCGTGGTGGAGGGCATCATGATAGTGGAGGGATCACAACAGCAAGACGTGCAGCAGAGACCTAATTTGGTGTTTTGTTTGTTTTTTAACTCTTCAGTGCACGGTTTTCATTTCTGCTTATATATTCATTCTAATCACATAGGGAGATTGATTTAACAAGTCTGAGATTTGCTGGTGACGAGTAGCTTAAAAACATATTTTGAAAAACAAACAGTGAAGTGGTACACACCCGTGATCCCAGCATGAAGGAGGCTAAGGCAGGAGGATTGCTGTGAGTTCAAGGCCAGCCTGAATTTCATAGCCAGAGCTTGTCTCACATAGCCAAGAAAAGATAAGACAAGATGCATACCTATCGCATATGGCCATGACAAACATCTAGTTTTAATTTCATGTAATTTTATCTTTTTAAATGAAAGCTACTTGTTAACCTAATTATTAACAAGTGTAATTTTTGTTTAGCTTTTTAGTTTAATTATTTTGTTTAATTGTCCTTTGTTTTGAATGTTTGTTGTTGAAGATGGGTAAGTAAAACCAACTTACTGGATATTAATTCAGGTAAAATTTTAATGGTATAATTAAGGTTATTACATATGTTGTGGATTCTTGTACCACCGTAGATTGTAAAGTATAGAATAAGAATCTCCAGGTAGTTTGAATATCAGCAGATTTCTTAACCTGCATTCGAAACATGGCATACTGGCAGTGAGGCAGGAGTATCACAAGTTCAAGGCAACCTGAAAAACTTAGCAAGACCCTGTCTCAAAATAAAATAAGAAAAAGGGCTGGTTCAAATAAACAACTTAACGATGAAACTTAGACTCCTAGAAAAACAAGAGCAAGAAAAACCCAAAGCTCGAACAAGAGAGGAAATTATAAAGATCCGAGCAGAAATCAATGCAATTGAAATTAAGAAAACGATACAAAAAATAAATGAAACAAAGAGCTGGTTTTTTGAAAGAATAAATAAAATTGACAAACCCTTAGCTAATCTTATCAAAAAAAGGAAAGAAAAGGCTCAGATCCATGCAATTAGGAATGAAAAAGGCGAAGTCACAACAGATCCGAAAGAAATCCAGAGGATCATGAACACCTACTTTGAGAACCTGTACTCTAATAAAATGGAAA